CCTGTCTAGTTACCTTGAAAATCAGCATTAACAATGGCACTGTTCTCTTGTCAGATTCAAGGATCATAAGAAAACCATATCTAAAGTGGAGGTAGAAAAATCTGGTACACAAATTATGAGGGAATGCAGAAAAAAGAATGCCTCACTCCCAACCTGACCAAAAGATCAACATTTAATTTTTTTTTAATTTCCCTCTTGGTTGAGCTGAGAACTTTTCAGTATTCATTCATGTCTAGGATAAGAAGAGCACTTATCATTATCTCTGGAATTAAGCAATTAAATTTATGGAATAAAGCTGTAGAATGGATCAGCTTTTCAATTTTGTAACAGCATTAGCAACACAAAGTGGAGAGAAATGTTCATTAAGAGGATTACTTATAAAATATGCATATAATCTTATATGTAAAATGTCATAAAAATTGAATTATTAAAAATACTTATAATAAAATAGCAACAAAACCCACTTATATAGAATGACTGAAAGCCATTTTTAATGAAAATTGTGACAACTGTTTTTATTTTGAGTTGAAAAGCTCAGCCATCTTTTATTACAGATCAACCCAACCCCTTATCTCTTTTTAACCTGTGCTATGCAGGAACCAGGTCATTTCTGGATTTTCAAAATGTTTTGAACTGATTTAATTCCCCCATAAAATCAGAGTAAAAGAAAGAGATGCTGCCTCCAAGTTAAGGGTGTGGAAGAAATCTTAAAAATCTGTATCAATTCTTTTAAGAGATTGACTTTGTAATGTTTGTGAAATATAACTATTAAATATTATCTCTATAATTAATTAGAAACAAACAATTCTTAATTGAATAATACCTTGCATCTGCACATTTCTTATTGTCTGACTTACACACCTCTTGTTGCCATATATACCCACCATTCTTTTGCCTAATCTGATCACCAAAGTCTCCATGAGTAATGTTCACTTCATATGAACCATCCCACTGAACTACAAGAAAGATTTTTGTAGGTTTTGTTGTAAATATCATCTTATAACTTGATATTGTGTTAGAGAGAGAGACATTATTCTTTCTTTTTGTGTCCCTTTCCATTCCCATATTTGATTACCGTCTTCTCTATTGGTGTATAACTGGTTGCATTTTATGTACGTTCATATATGAAGCAGCCATTTTAAGCCATTGACAAGTGACTTTTGTTGTCTCTCTGCTAACAATTGCTGCATAAACAATTACATCTGCCATGTTTGTAAAATGTACATGCATGGCAGTTATATATCTGTTGATATGTGTGTATCTGTAACATGTATGTATGGTTTTCTTTATTAAAAATTAATTATTATTGTAAAATTTATAAATTATAATTATTAATTAATCATTAATTTTTTTTTTTCCAAACAAAACCCCCAGATACAGAAAGTTTGCTCTGAATCATAAAATAAAAAATGCAATGAAACTAAGACATTATTTAATTAGAAAACTTTTTAATTGCTTTTATGTATTAAATATATTATGGATACTATTGTCTTAAGAAAAAAAATTGTTTTCAATGAATTTTTACAAAAATTGTTTCCATTTTTTTTTTTTTTTTTTTTTTTTAATTTTAATTAGAATAGTTTATAATCTTTTAAAATTCTGAATTAATTTGTAGCAGTCAAGTGATATTGTTATGAAATTAAGACTATATTTATTAATCATAGATGGAAAAGCTCACTATAATTCAACAACCCCCAATATTTTAAAAGGAATTTTGAATTTATTATGTGTGAATAACAAGTCAATTTTTGTAAATATGGATGTCCAAACATGACATTATTAGAAAATAAGAACAGTAACTATAGTAAAGCTAAAATTTATTGGTAATTTTCTAACTTTTTCTCAACAGGCATCTTCGTAAGTAGGCCAAAGTACATAAAATTCAATAAAATATTAGATTACTATTAGATTTTCTTAAAATTTTTAAGGTTACTGGGTAGTTAAAAAAAATGTATAAAAAGGGTATTCACATTGTATTTGTCAAGTAATTGTTACAGTCATGTCCTCCTTAGCAAAAATTCCTAAATATCAGTCTATTGAGAAAGTTGTCAACATCTCATAAAAGCATCCATTACCATGTCAAAAAATGCTTTTTTGCAATATTTTAAACTAAAAGTAATATTTGTTTCTAATCAGTTTAAACTTTAAATCAGCTAATCTTCCTCAAATAAAGTTTCTGAAAAGGATTTCATTTTTGAGAGATTTTTTTAATAAAAGAGAATTTTTTTTGTTAACAATTTTAGTGTTTTTAATGAAAATAATAACTCCTTCCAACCAATTTAAATTCAGTTTGAAATACACCACAGCAAAGTATTTTGCTTATTGTAAATATTAAATTTAATTTATTAGCTTAGAATTAAAACTAAAATAAAAGCTTCAAGAAAGAATTTTCATTTTTAGAAATGCATTTTAAATCATAGGTCTTGCTTTTCTGTGTATGTGTGCATGTAATATATGTATATATAATCAATAATAATTCTACCAGTTTTATTATGTCATTTTCAATATCAAAACATTATTTATTATTTCTGCTGTGTGTACATTGTCTGTGAAGTAGCACATTGTCTCTTTGTGTTGTCAGCGTGTTTACATTCTTCATTCATATAGCTTTGTATGTTGCCGCTTACACTTCTAAATAAACACGTAAAGCATGCTGGATCAGAGCGTGATTTTTGCCTACCACAATTTTGCCAGGATGCTGATTCAAACTCTGCCAAAGAGCACATTTTCTTTTTAAGTCTCTCAAGTGTGCAGTTTAGTACGTGTAATTCACATTGTTAAAGAAAGTGTAGTGGGTCATCTTCTTAAACATGGACATTCACTAAACTAGTGTTTAGTAGGTTAATAATAAATAGTGTTTGGTTGAAAATAAAATTAAAATCTATTAATTACCTAGAATATGTATGTATATATAATTGCCATAGGAGAAAATGCTTATTTGAAAATAAACAAAATAGACACCAATCAATATATTTTGGATACTTTCCATGAAAATTAAACTCATTTATTTTCTCCTTTGAACGCATACTCCTGTGTATGTGTGTTGTTTGCCTTAGAGCCCTCTAGACAGTTCAAGAAGCTAATGTCATTGATCATCTTTTGAACATAATAAACCACACAATATGTACATATCACTTTATTCCATAAATGAGAAAATGTAGCCTAGGAACTCATTACCGTATGATAATTCTACCGGTCTTATATGTCATTGTCGATATCAAAGCATTATTTATTATTTCCATTGTGTGTACATTGTCCCTAAGTAAACATAATTTGTTTAGATTGTGTTAGCGTGTTCGCATTCTAGACCCCTTCTTCATTCATAGAGCTTTGTATGTTGCCGCTTACACCTCTAAATACATGTGTTCCTGTGTGGTTGTGTTAAGTATGGTGGTTGCTACAGGTTCTCTTTGACTGCTGGCATGATAAAGGGAATGAAATTTACTACAGTTTTCTCTCACTCTTTATTGTTTGTTTTCCTCCAACTGCCTCAAGGAAAAGTGCCAACAAGAATAAGAGAGAGTGAGAGAGAGAGAGAGAGAGAGAGAGAGACTATTTGCTTCCCTTGTATTGTGCACCAGGTTGTGTTGTTATTTCACATTGACCCAACTGAATCTAGAAAAAAAGATTGTGTTTTTAGGCACACAGTGAGGAAATTTGCATGCTGACTAACTACATACCACATGATAATTAATAATTATTATAATTAAATTATATACTCACTGACTCATGTACAAAAACACAAATGTAATGTTTTTACTGACAGAAGAGTATTTTTGAAATCTAGATGCCCACTCACAGTTTTGTGCTTACATCATAAGACCAGTCATGTTTTGATTTAAAATATTACATTTTCTACAGGTTTGTGTAATAAAGGTATTTGTTAATGTGTGTGTGTGTGCATGTGTACACATGTACTGTTTTCAAGCAATGTCGAACGGATGTTTGTAAAGTACATGTGTCGTAAGATGGGTGATCATCTGTTTCTAAAATTAGGTAAATAATTTATTAATGCTTATGTTTACATACACACACACGCACATTATATAATATATATATATATATATATATATATATATATATATAATGTGTGTGTTAGCATATTTTCATCTGCTTTTATGTGTCTGTGTGCACGAATAAGAAAAAAAAAAGATGGAGAGGCCTTGTTGGTTTACTGGTGTGGGCGAATTAAGAAAAGAAAATGAAGAAACCCACTTGTATCACTGCCACTTCCTCTATTAAGCAACCCACTCTCTCTCTCTCTCTTTGTAGTTTTTCTCTTTTTTTCACCAAATGCACATTCCCACCTCTCTATAGACATCTTACTCTCCCCCCCCCCACCTCCGCATTTTATTATTCCATCGCTTACTGTGACTGGGTTTTTACTGCAAGTGAGCTGTTCCCTCATCATCCCTCATTGACTATGTCAGAAACTAATTGTTAGAAAATTGCAAGAAAAAAAAAAAAAAAGACCAGTGGAGGAAAGAGAAAGAGAGAGACTGTTACTGGAACAAATGGCAGTGGTAGTCCTACTTGCTGTAGCCACTATAGAGATGGTGATGATGGTTAAATAGTGTTGAGGTGCGGCTGTTTAGGCATAGGCACCCCCGTATACAAAACACCTAGTATGACACCCGGAAGACTTTCTTTTCTTTCTTTCCAGGTTGTGCCTAACTACCCCCATCCTCCTCTTCCTCCTTCCTCTTCTTAATAATTATTATTAAGCAAGCAGTGTGAAAAAGATGAAAATGAAGAAAAGACATCATTGAAAAATGTTTTTGGACTTTGATTGACTTTATTTTTTTTTATTTTTCTTCCTTTTCTTCTCTTCTCTAATTTTGCTTAAATTTTTGCCTTCTACCCTTTAAATTGTTGTAATTCTGTAATATATTTCCCCTTTCTCTCTCCTAGTCTTTTTCTTTTAATATTCCTTTTCATCTCATATTTCTACTACTATTTTTTTAATATTATCATTAAAAAAAGACTTGAGGAAAAGAGAGATGGCATCCTTTTTCTATTTCCAGCCTCTTCTTCACTTGTCAGTTACCTTCATCTTCCTTGTCTGTTCTCTTTCTTTATCTGTCATTGCCCCTTCTTATTTCTGTACTTTCTTTTTTTCATTCTCTCCTTTCTTTTTTGTGTCTTTCCTTCACTGTTCTTCATTTCTTTTTCTCAGTCAACCCTCATACACGCTGATCCTTTTGTGTTTTCTTTGTATAGAATCTTTTTCACCAGATTTTTTCTTCTTTATCAATACTTTCTCTTCTTTTGTGCTTTTCTTTCTTTCTTTCCTATCTTTTTCTTTGACATTCTCTTCTCATTCATTTCTTTCACTATTCTCTTTTGCATTTTTCCATTCGCTTCTTTTAACACTTTATTGCCAATCCGTATTTCCCCTTCTTTCTTTTTCTGATTCAATATTTCTTTCTTTCTTCTCTCTCATTCATCTTCTTCACCGCTACATTCTTCACTTCATTTCTCTCACAAACAAAATTTCTTTCCTTCTTTCCTAAAATTTCTTTTCCTTCTCCATATCTACAACACCCAATCTCTCTTTCATCGTCCAACTATCTACCCATCCTACCTCATCTTATATGCCTCAGTACCATTACCACCAGCCACCCAGCAGTCAGTACCATGGTAGGGTAGCGAGAGGAAGAAAGTCGGGATCTCAACCCCACATCAAGTTGGTGCCACAGAACTTCTGATAAGAATGATAAATGACATTGATGGATCTCTCCAGTGATGTCTCTATGGCAACTGTCCGGACCCATCACCCTCTACTGGGAACATATCATTGCTATGGTTCCACCATGTCTGTTGGATGACAATGAATTATGATGTTTTCCTAAAACTGCCAAGTTGCCTTTGACAAGCAAATTATCATAAATCTTTTGTTGGCTGACCTGGCACAAGGTCATAAATATTTTGATTGAGTATAATTTCTTGGTTATTTCAAGAAATTGTTTGCCAGATAAAGCAGCCAGCTGGTGACTCTGATAGCTTCTTTCTTTCTTTTTTCAGTTTTATTTTCTTTTTTCTTTCTTAAATTCTCTAGATCTTTTTTTCATTCTTTTCTCTTTTTTTTTTTTTTTTTTTCCAGTTATTCTCATAAATTCTCTTTCTTTACTGTTTTATCCCATTCTTCTTTTTCATCTTTTCCTCTTTTTTATTAAATTAATTTTCTTTCAACTTCTCCCCCTCTGTCAACTCCATTTCTCTTTGCATTCTCTCTATTTTGTTATTCATTCATTCTCTCAGATTTTTTCACACACACACACACACACTCTTTCATCTTCATCCAGTTTCTCTTTGTCTATTTCTACATTAGTTGTCTATATTACCCTCTCCTCTTTCTCCTGATCTTTCATTCCTTCATCTTTGGTGTTGTAGCCTAAAGAGCGATAAAGCTTCTTATTAGGTTCCACTTTTGGCTGTGAGCAAATAGCTCAATCGTCATCATCATCAGTAACAACAAAAATGTATTGTAATTATAATCAGTGTCCAACTGCACATTTTTCCTCTGCCTCCTCCTCCTTTTCATGCATTTTTCTATTTCCTTATCTTTTTTTCTCTTTGTACTATTGTTGCTTACACTATCTTCCCTGCTCTATCTTCTTTTTATTTCTTTTGTATTCTCCTTCCGCATTTCATTAGCCTTTTCTTTGCTTTCTCTTTCCTCGCTGCCTTTACAGTTTTTGTTGTTTATATATGCTTTGCATTTTTAAATCTTTTTATGAATTTTCTTTCTCTCCTTTCTTTATTCAATTTTTCTTCTTTGTTCTTTCTCTTATGTAACAAACTCTTGCTTTTTAATTTCCTTTTATCTCTTCTTAACATACTTTTTCTTTTTGAAAACTAATGTTTTTCTTTCATTTCCACTCGTCACAATCCTATCTTCTCTCTTTCATCCTATCATTTTTTACCATGTATAATTCTTTACTCACTTCTTTCCAAAGATATTTTTCTTTAATTGGGTCCCTTTTTATACTTATTTGGTACTTTCTTTTTTCTTTTATTCATTCTGTCTTTTACTACTGTTACTACTTTTATGACAATATTTTTCTTATCCTCGGTTCTTTCTCTTAGCTTCTATTTCATTTTTTATGACTAGGATATCTTCTTCCACAACGTTCTCTTCTCCCTTTCTTTGTCTCTCTTTATCTCGTTGACTATCATTGGCTCGTCAATAAGAGAAGTGTGTGGCTCATTTAGTGATGACTGAGGTTTTTTTTGTCAATTTTTTTCATTTTTCAACCTTACATCATTCACTTTCTCTCTCTCTTCCTCACACAACACTTCTTTTTCTTTCTTCTTGCCTCTTCTAAATTCTTCTCCTCGTCCACTTCTATTTCCTTGCTGCATCTCTTCCAATGCTTTTTCTTTCATTTTCTCTTTTTTCTCTTTATATTTCATATTCTTCTTCCCTTTGTATCTTTCTTTCTCTTTGCACACATATGCTTACCACATGAACTCCTGTGGCTATTACAAAATATTGTAATTGTACAAGGTGTGAGGAGGCTAACACTTCCACTAACCTACAAAACAAGTAGTGATTAGTAGACTAATGGATGCGTTGGAGTGATGATGATGAGGCTAGTTGATAGGTATATTATTATAACGATGGATAGATGGAATACAATATCTGAACAGATTGACAGACATGTAGTTGATAGATAGAGAAGCAGACATTGCGGTATATGAACACACTTTATTATTTAAAAAAAGGTTTAATAAATTGATAGGCAAAAATAGATTTGTGGTGTGTACGTGTGTGTGTATTAGCCCAGCTGTATGTATATGCATGAAAAACCTACTGATAATGTAGGGTAGGCAGTTGTTTAGTTTGGCACAAGGTTACATTTGTCAAGCACCTGGTTTTGATGAATCTTGTTCAAAAATTAAAATGATCTATGAGACCAACTTCAAAATTACTACGCCACAATGTTCAAGGTAGATATTGGGAGATTAAACAATATAGGTCAAGTGATAATTTGAAGGTTTTAGGTAGATAAAGATAGGTTATGAGAGGGAATAGCTGAAAAATAGATCGATAGCTTCATAAACTGTCACGTGACAATAGATTGACATAGATTGATAGCTTTGACAGATGTGAACAAACACAGTTTCACACACCTGACAAGTCCTAGTTCATGACAGCTGTTGTAGGCAGATAAAGATACAGGCTTCATTTCTCTTACCCATGTCTTTCGTTCTCTGCTCTTTCCTCTCCCTATCTTTATGTTCACATCTCTTTATAATTTTTTTTTTTTTTGATTTCCTATCGTTTAACAGAGGTTTATCAATATATATCTTTCTCTCTTTTTTTGGTCGCTCTTTCTCATGCAGATAGCCCCCCCCCCTACTCCCCATTTTTGTTTTTATCTTCATCTTTAATATTCTCTTCCTTCATTTTTCAACTTACTTTCAGATTTGGGCGGAGTGGGTTAGAGCAATCTTCAACAACCATCAGTCATTGACATCTCTCCTCTCACTCCCACCTGCTTTTTCTTTTATTCTCTGGAAGTCATTTTGTTACAACTGACTGTACATTTTGAAATTGGCCTTACAATGGATGTGTCATTGCATTGTTGACTTGCATTCTTTATTTTCCTATTTACATTATTTTAACACTAGAACAAGATATTTTTTTGATTTCTTGTACTTATTAAAACCAATTGTCAGTAATAATTATAATTACATTGTAAAAAAAGAGTTTTAAAAATGAAAAATAAATAATTTTTTACTACAATGGGACTTCACCGCTTGCAGAATTGTCAATCACAGTTTTAGTTATCGACGGTTGTAACAGTCAACAAAACTTTTGCTTTCAAAACTTTTAATAAACTAAAACTACTTTGCAAAATATTTCAATATCTCTCACCTACTTATGCTATAACAGTAAAATATTGCCAGTTAAAATTAAAATTGACCTTAGCTCAGTTCAATTTTATATTATAATTAATTAATGATTTTTTAGGCAAATATTTAATTCAAAATACATTTTCTGGATGAGGTTGTAGATATTAAGAATGTTATTGATTCTAAACATGTATATGCATGTTAAAAAAATTAAATTGAAATAAAACACAATTTCTATGTCCATTAATTGTAATTTGAGATCTTCACATAGTTAAAAAAAAACAAAAAAAAAACAATACTTTATTTCCTATATAAATTGAATTTCTAATTGGATGTGGTTCTATTTGTGCCATTTCATCACATCTAACTTTAATTAGTCTTTTTTTTATCTAAGAACTTCTTAGATATAGATTCATTAAGAAAGACTTTAATTTTGAACAAGCAAAACTGATCCCTCATTTTCATTACTATCTTAAGAAAGCAGAAATTTCACCCATAGATCACATCTGGCCCACTGAATATTTTCATACTTTCAAGACAATCAAAAACTGTGAAGTACTATGTAGTTAGACTGAAAACCAATAATTCTGATCTTTGGCCAGATTTCGGTAAGTGAATTGGGGCAATGACTTTTCATCACCCCCTTGTAATTTGCTGCCTTTTGGAAAATCACAATTACATTGAGAAAAAATTTTGATAGGTATTAATGAATTAATTATTATTTTGATTGGTTTTAATGAAGATTTATTAAATCAAGTAAATGATGAATATAAACTGTACTTATATTAATTTCAAATATCTTATCAACCAAGACTTAGTAAAATAAATATTGATATTAATAGTCTTGGTTTTAATTTTATTATAATTATCCAAAAATATTCTGTTTTATTTTGAAATTTCAAGCACATATAAGGTAGAAAAATTTGTTTTGATGGTATAAAGCAATTAAAATGATTTTATCATGTTAGCATTTATTTAACACTAGCAGTAGAGCCCGGTGTTGCCCGGGGATGTAACAGTAAGAGATAGATCAAGTATCGACGATCATAAAGACTGAAAAATAAAATTGACAAAGATTATTGTTTAAGGTTGACGGACATGCATGTCTTAATTAGTTTTTTTTTTTTTTTTTTTTTTTTTTTTTACGAATTGGTCAAACTCAAACAAAAACATTGTTTTCAATCGTTATGAGTCTACCGATTGAATAGAATTTTATTATAAACAATTGTCTTGTAAATGGAATTTTAAAAGCATTCTAAATGTAAAAATAAAGAAAAAAGTGTGCTAGACAATAAGAAACACTAACTGCCAAAAAAAAGTGAAATTTTGTTGAAATCAGTTGAAAAATGTAGGAAATCCGATCCCATATATATAAACACACACACACACACACACACACACAAACAACCTGGGTTTTATAATAAGTATAACTCTATATGAGTTGTCCCCTTTCATTCTTACGATGCCTCTTAATCGTGTTTTTCAAATTGATTTTGTGCAAAAACAATTGTGTTTTTCAATTTTTGGCGCTATCAGAACCATTAAAAGGTAATTTTACGTAGTACTGTGAAGTTTTGTTGAAATCGGTTGAAAAATGTAGGAAATCCGATCCAATATATAAACGTACAGACACACACACACAACCTGGGTT